TTTGATCTTTATCAGTAATTTGTTGAGCTTCATGATGGTGTATTATCTATGTGTTTCTTAATTTTTGTTGGAAGGACTGGGATTTGTACTTTTTTATCTGGTTAAGTGGAACTTATACATGTATTAAATTCTTACCTGAACTTTTCTCTTCTTTGTTTATCTATCTGTAGCCGATTGCGAGGTTTCAAGGTCAAGCAACAGATATTGAACTTGCAAGAAAGGAAGTGAGGAACGTTAAAGACGAGTTGGTAAGATTAGTGGTCACAAACATATTTGTTGCCATCCTTCACTCTGTTCACATTGACTAGTTTGAATGCTGGTTAGATGTTTATGGTTATTCAAAAGTTTCAAAGAATGGGAGAGATTTTTCCTTTAGCTCTTTTCATTTCTATTCTTCCATTTTTCTCTTTTGTGTAGCAAGTGGATATGTTTTCTATCTTGGATGTGGATTGATTTTTGCAGTATTTATATTAAACCAGGAATTAACTTAACTCTCTGTACAAGTTCAAAAATATAGCTCAGGTGTAATAATTCATGGGAATGTAAACAAAAAGAAGAAAAAAGAAAGACTCAATTACTTTCAGCATCTACTTCACAGTCCTGATCTATGTTCAACGGACATGGGTTCTGGGCATGATTTCCAAAAATTTGGACTTGGATATGGCCAAAAACACAGTAATTAAAATAATAATAATCATAAATTAACAATAATATAGCTTAAATATAATAAATGACACTAAAAAAAAGACAATAGATTTAAAATTACATATAATAGAAGGTAATCTCCTCTTCTCAATCAGTTCTAGGAGCTTTCTCAGGCTTTCTCCTCTAGTTCTGCAACAAAGTAAAAAGTGCTAGGTCCCCGTATGGTTTTCAAATAGAGAGAGAGAATAGGGAGATGGTTGGGCCTTTAACTGTTTAACATATCGTTTAAATACTATAATTTGACAGTATAGTTTTACACATTTCGATTTGACCTATGTAGTTTTGAAATAATTACAAGCTGACAACTGTGTCCTAACCGTGTCCCAGCTGTATCCAAAAGAAAATGGTCAATAAAATCGAAGGACACTCCACAATATCCAAAATATGTATTTTTCCATGTCCTACGCGAGTCGTGTCCATTCCAGTGTTATACACTGCACACACCTGAAAGTCGAAATTGATATGGTGGGATGAAACAAAGAGATGAAACAAATCTATCAATCAAAAGACGATAGAACTAACACAATCTTCTACATGGAGAGGAACCCCTTTTTCCTTTCAAAATGAACTTTATAAAATATTATTCTTGGAGCATGATGTAGTATGTGCTGTGAGTACAGGAAATGACTAATTGTGGTATGTTCGGTGAGTATAGAAGTGACTAATTGTATAGAACTTTGCATTGGAGCGTAGAAATTGACATTCATAACTCCATACCAACAAAAGAAGTGCCTTAGGTGACCTATCAACTCAGTGTTTTATTGTCTGATTTATGTTTTAGGTTAAACTCTTCGCAAAGCATGTGGGAAAGTCAACTGAGCAAATTGAAGCAGACATTAGGCGTCCAAAATATTTTAGTCCAAGTGAGGCAGTTGACTATGGCATCATTGACAAGGTATTTCAAATAGAAAGAGTTAATACATTTTTGTCTAACTCATACCAAACATATGTCACCCATTTCAAACTAATTTCCAGGTACTGTACAATGAAAGGAGTACCGAAGACAGGGGAGTTGTCTCAGACCTTAAAAAAGCACAACTTATTCCGTAGGAAGACTTGGAATTCTTATCCGAAGGAATATTGAGGTACAGGGCAATAACAAGATTCTTTCAGATTGTACGTTATGGGATGACTCATTTCTGTTGCTCATTACATGAAATTTACCATTTGCTAATGTTGGAGTGAATATCAATGTTTAAGTGTGTACTGTAGTCAGCAATTGTCCTAAGCTTTCTGGACTGATTTACGCTGCTTGTGATTACTTGTGCTTGTTTTCTGTTCAATAATTTTGACATCTCCTGGACGATGATTAGTTGGGTTGTGATTGGCTTATTTGGAACGACTAGGTTTGACTTTTTACGTGTAAAGTTCTAGTTAAAGCACTCCCCTTTCCCTCATCCACACCAACCCCTGGTGAGTTTGGAAAACTCCATGTTCTTGGGTAGTACCATTGAACATCATGCCATAACATCGACATTGTACTTCTTTTTAGCTTATTTAGTCCCCTCATATGCTATGGTATGATGGCCACAATAATCTGAAAAGCCTGGTATGGAAGAGTAACTGGGTTTTTGGATCTTTACTTTCTGTTGACTAGGAAATTTCTCTCTGGTATCATTTATATGCCTTTTCAAAATTTCACTGCTCACAATCTCTCCCAGTTTTAATTCTCAACCATTCCATTGCTCTAGTATGAGGACAAGTTGGTTCTGGATTTGCGAAGTAATTGCTTGTTCTTTTCATGGCATTACCACCTTTACCACTATTTCTCCATAAGATTCAGTAAGGAGACACTTGGCAGAGGTGCTGTCCTTTTTTTTCGTTTGTTGATTGGTAAATTTGGGAGTGAAGATGACTAATGAGGTTTTGGTGGATGGTATGTTGTATTGTTTGTAATTTTGGTTTTGTCTCCGACAAACATCACCCTTTCGCCTTTCCTTTTCAACCCAATTTACAAGTGTAAGAGAGAGGTGAGAAAGTAGAAGATTTGGTGATATTAACCGTACACATACTCGGTGGATTGTGTCGACTGATTCTCTTCCATGATTTGCTCTAAGTGGTTGCCCCATTTATGCAAGTGATGTTATTTTTTTAGCCCATTTTATGGTGAGTCACTTTCTTTGAGTTGGAACTCCCTCCTAGAACCATGGTATAATCATTAAGAACAAATTATTTAATACGTGTTTGGAAAGTTTGCATCATTGTAGTTGAAACAAGTGTGTTATTACTGGGTTCGTGAAGTCTATCTTCTTGCCCGTAGTTATGTAATTTTTTATTACAAGTGCTGGATCAACAAGCTTAGATCAGAGAATATGCTTTGCCTAAAGTGCTAATTCAAAAAGTGCTTTTGCTGAGGTCAAAACAGCAAAAAGTGTGTCTATGCTGCAAATGCTAAATACTTTAATCAAAGACTAGTTAATATCAATGCACTATGTTGATCCAAATTAAGTAAGTTTTGTACATGTTCTAAATTGTTGTTGAAAGAATGGTAGTGGAGTTAAACTTCAAATTTGTGACAATTGTGATATTTCATTGCGCGATGTGCATGCAAACTTGTGATTTCAGATTGAAGTTTATGTGGTGATTGTCGTGGAGAATGCTCGGGCCAGAGTCACACCATGCAATGGAAAAACTGGGCATCCAGCTTCCAAGTGGTAACACAAATATTTTCCAGCAAAGCAATGCATAATACATAGCCTAAACTTGTATCAAGCACAAAGAACCATCTGTGTAAAACAGCTGAAAAGAAAGCAAGTGTTTTGCTTTTGACTTTTAATGTACACTTGGTGTTCGCTGATTTTTTGTTAATTTGGTAATTAATCATCTGCGTATTGGCACATGTGGTGCGTCTAGTACAATCTTGAAGAGGAGGAAACACCAGCAGGATCACATTTGAAGGTAAGAATGTTTGTGATAGTGGTTAAGATAATGAAGGAAATGATTAGTCACTAATCTCGTATTACAGAATTTAAACACACGTCCAAGTGCTTACGAACTCAGCACAGAGAAATGGTGTGCTTGGAAGTTGGAACAAGGCAGGTGGAGGGCAAGGGATGACGATTCACCTACCCCCCATTTGGGATTTGGACAGGAAGCCTACTCTAATTGGACCTCATTAGCCATTGCTTCCCCTCACCTCAACTTTTGTTAGTACTATTACTTTTCTTTCCATCATATACATTTATCGTATATCGTGCAGCTAATTTTTGTCAAATACTGTTTATATTCAATTTTAAACAAAAAATTTACAATGATTTTTTACTGTACGATGTACAATGAACGGATGTGATTGAAGGATCTGAGGAGGATCCTTGTGACTATTTTAAAAGTTAAACATGTCGAAGTTATCCGTTCTTTAGCTTTCTCAAATAAATTTCTCTTGTTTTGGTTGGTTGAAGCCAAACGCGTCAAAATCTTAAACCCAATTAGCTAGGGAAATTATAAGTGCTCATCCTTTAGTCTTAAACTTTGACACGGCATTAGAGATTAATGCCTTGGTTTTTAGTCACTCCGAGTGAGTCTGAATCTGATAGACCTACTCACTCAGTCGGCATGTCAGTGCGTTACAACCAAACCCGACGATGGCTTTGGTGGGTTTCAATTAGTCCACTTGTTTATATCCCATAGCCCTTGGTATTTGACTCAAAACACCAATTAAATTTCTCAAGGATCATCTACCAGTTTCCAATTGAAAACCATTTCCATCAAATTAACTCACGTAACAATTGACCCGTACCAAGTGACTAAACTAACAACTAAAAGACCATAACTCAAAACAACCAAAATCCTAAATTAATCCACAACCCTAATTCATAACCATCCACACGAATTGAAGTCGCGCTACCATTGAACTCACCACATCTAGCAATGATCTGAGAACCTATAGAACAAGGGAAGGGTACGAAGAACAGTCGATCTCCAATGATCCAATTGCTCATATTAGCGGAAAAGAGTCGTGTAATAGTGACTAGGAGTCATCACCAGACAATGTTGGCAAAAGTATTGGTTTTCGTCCAACCTACACAACTAGGGAGGAATAGACAGAGAATGGTCCCAAATGTAATGATGGTTTAAGAGCACCCTAACTTAATTAAACCTGCACATTCAAGGAACAAGCGAAAATGTTCAGCTCAGCTATTTGTGAATTATATAATATTCCCTCCACTAACACATAGTAATATGTTTTCATACATCCCATTTAAAATTGATAGTCTTTTTGATGAATTTAATAATGATAAGACAAGAGTTTTCATTTGACAACTATCCAACCGTTAGAGATAGTAATTTCTTTTCAAAATTATTGAGACTATGTGAGACGAGACTAGACTCAGACTCAGACTCAACCTATTCAGTCCCGCCCACCAAACGGATCAACATCGGAGATCCAACACAAGTGGCCCTTTACCACAGTGGTGGAAGGGTGTTGTGCCCTTACATGACGGCATGGGTTCAAACCCTCTCAGTAGCTAATCTAACATTTAACTTACTAACGCTATCGTTTCACTCAAAAAAAAAAAAAAAAAAAAGACATCGGAGGTCCAACGTGTAAGTACACGTTATCAATCTAATCCAAAACTCCAGAGCTCTCCTATTTCTTTTGCACCCTGTATTCCCAAAGTGGAAGAAAAGGTATGTATCCACCTCAGCATGCACCCTCCCCCCTGCCTCGACTATAAATATTGGGACTAAGATACCTTTGCTCTCACAACCCTCCTAAACTCATTAGCTTAATCTATCTGATTATCGTCTTACTTTGCGATAATTAACTTCCTTGCATTGTCTAGGAAAAACTTTGTCACACAGAGACATGGAGTTTTTGCTTAAGCACATAACTTGGTTTCTTTGTATCATGGTACTGTTGCCTGCACTATGTACCTCTCAAGACGCATTTGTTTCCTCTAGAGCAACCTACTATGGTAGCCCAGACTGCTACGGGACCCCAAGTATGTGTAGCTTTCTTACTAATCGATGTTTACGTTCATAATATATTTGTGCATGTGCATGACAGTTTTGTTGCTAAACTGTTAATCAAAGGTATTGATCAAGTAGAACTATTTTTGAACATGTGATTTTGATTGATAGCAGTGCGAAAATAACATGTTAGCTTATCATGCAAAAGAAAACTATTAAATGTATAGTAGGGTAACATTCTCTACCAAACTTGCATTACCAAAAACATGTTGACCACGTAAGGATATTTACATTCTAGATAACTTCAACATTATAAAAGTTTAGATTTACAGTCTGGTAACATAATCACGTTAAGTCATCAGATAGTGTGACAAAAGAATATTTCCATGCACGTAAGTATATTTGATTATGGTATGTATATTCACAGTGGTATATTACTGATGCAGCGGGAGCTTGTGGGTTTGGAGAATATGGAAGAAAGATCAACGACGGTCAAGTAACCGCAGTTTCTAGGCTATGGAGGAACGGAACTGGCTGTGGTGCATGCTACCAGGTACATCCACTTCCTCAAAGTTTTCAATAATTTACTATGTGACGAAAAGAACAGTAATACTCATGTTGATTAGCACTAAGCATAGACAAGTAATCATGCCGGGCCGGCTTTTTTAAATTAATCGTAACAATAATTAACTTAATTAAGTATACTGTAGTTAATACTGAGTGTGGTTTCATCAGGTGAGGTGCAAGGTCCCTCAGCATTGCAGCAGTGATGGGGTAACTACGGTGGTGACGGACTACGGCGAAGGCGACAGAACTGACTTTATCTTCAGCGCAAGAGCTTATGCAAAGTTGGCAACCAATCCAGCTTCGTCTGCGGTATTATTTGCTTCCGGTGTCGTTGAAATCGAATACAGAAGGATCCCTTGCAAGTTCTCTGGTTACAACATTGTGTTCAAAGTCCATGAACAAAGTAAATATCCTCATTACCTTGCCATAGTCATTCAGGATGTTGCTGGGGTAAATGACATAACAGCTGTTGAGGTTTGGCAGGTGAAAATTCAACTCCAACTCAATATTTCAAATACAACTTACCAAGTTACCATGTTATTAATATAATTTCGTAAACGTGATTCGTGTAACATTACTGGTCTGACTAAAAATATTTTTTTCTTTTGTTGGGGCAGGAGGATTGCCAGCAATGGAGGCCAATGAGGAGAGCATATGGAGCAGTGTGGGACCTTCCAACCCCACCAATGGGGTCCCTTAGCTTGAGGTTCCAAGTGAGTGGCAGTGCAGAAGTGAAATGGGTGCAGGCAAACAATGTCATCCCTGCTGATTGGAAGGCTGGGGCTGCATATCAGTCGGACATTCAGCTCACTTAGGAGGACACTAATTTAGTTACATGTTGATTAATATTATTGCTTTTTTATGTTTAGTTGCTTGGCATGGATTTAGTATAAAATAATTAAAAGTATTAGTTAATGTATGATGCTTGTTAGGAACCAGTGCACTTGGCTTTCGTTTGCCCAAGGATTAGTGGGGTTCTGCACCTTCAGTTGGTGAGGTTATGTAATATGAATGAATAAAGTTCCACCTTGTTGGATACTTTAAGCTTGCTTTATAAACAAAGTTTGTTATTGTATTATACCCAAAACTTTTGGCGTGCTCTCTCCGAGTATCTGGTACTCCAGGTGTTTTAACCATTGAATTTTAAATTTTGTATTTTCAAACAAAGATCTAACGGTTAAAACACTCAGAATATAAAATACTCTATAGTATTTTAAAAGACAACAAATAATGATCAGCTATTTATATATATATAATAAAAATAAGGCAAAACCAGAAATGCATAGAATGAAAAATAAAATTAAATTAAAAAACCAGATTCGTAAAGCAAAAAATAAACGTGGTCCTTTGAATGTGGAACTTCATTCGGATTGCTTAACCAGGCTACCAGCAAGTGGCTAAACTGACTACCTTTGTTTTGACCGTGCTTAAGCCATCTCCTATGGTTGAGGGCTAAACGTGGCCCGTGTCATTTTTAGCCTTTAATAAACCATGTAGCAAAGATCTCAGATAAGATTTTGCTCTGCGCGGCACCTTGTCATGATTGAATCTTTAGCATTTCTCAAATATGTTTTTTCGAGTGACATCCGACAGTTCGGGAGCAACTTTCGAGATTTCTGAACAGATTTTTCTTGACGTGATATTTTTATTATGATTGAATCTTAATCATTTTATTAATATGATTTGCAAGTGAAACGTGTCAGTTCGTAAGAAACTCTCTAAATTTTTTATTAGGTTTCTCTCGACATGACACCTTTTATCTTCAACTTCACGTGTGAATAAATAGTGTGCATTGAGTTCCATATCTCACTACTTCATATGCTTCCATTTCAATTTCTCTCATCTTCTATAATTTGTCAACCAATTCTGCAATGTATGATAACTCTGATTTCAGTTCCAACTTGGATCATAAAAGAATACGAAGAAGACGATGCACATCCGCGCATAACAGGTGGAATGTCCAGCCAGAAGAGATGACCTTACATCCATTTTCGCAAAGACATGCCATTTCAGTCTACTCAAGTGATCAGTGACGGAGCTAGCATAGGGTCTTTAGTTATCTTTGACCCCAACAACTTCAAAAGCTCCATATATGTTTGTTTTGTCAATTGTGTTTGACACCTATAAACACCTAAGGCAAACTAAATTACAACCTCCTCATCCTACCTCTATTTTCTTCTATCATATTTGTATTCCTTTTCTCTCGTCTGAAATACTTTAGTTGAAAGCCTTGGCATCCTTCAACATCACTCTACAATATCATGTATCCACTCTCGACAAGTCTCTACAAATAATAGTAGTTGTCGACATAAATTGGCATAAACTTTCAGCATATGTTGACAGGAATTGGCAGATGCCTACTAGGTGCTTCGACAAAATGGCCCAATAAAGTTTTTTTTGGGTGATATTCCCATTATTTGAAAATCCTAAATACGCACGATTGGGCTTATAATTAGAATTTTTAATTTATTCTTAGTACAAATGATATTTTACACAAGGGTGAGGAAATAACTGATCTCGAATTCGTCACCTACAAAATTCGAGCTAAGATCTTTTATTCACAAAGAAAAAAAAAATACATGACCGTAGTACTAATGACATTTAAAAATTATCATTTATAAAATTAGGGACTAAATTTTGAATCTAAATGATTAAAAACTGCAATGGAAGGTATAATTCGTAATCAAAACCTATTAATATTAGGAAGATAAATTTCCCGATACGAAAATCTAGTTCGCACCCTTAGTTATGTTAAAAGGAAAAAGGGTAAATGAAGGGAAAAAGCATGGAATTGAATATTAGTAAGAGAAATTTCATGATACACATGATATTACTCATAGTTTTCGAGAATGACACACATGCCACAGGCTCATCGCCGCGATAGTGTCCCATGTCAATAAATTGAAGAATGTGAGTTTTTGTCCATCTTTTTATTTCATTGACACAAGACCCCGTGACAATAAACCCCGTGTCATGTAAGTTATTGTTTTCTCCTACACACACACCCCCCCCCCCCCTCTCTTCATTTTTGACAATCAGATTAAATAAACCAAACAAAATAAGCTGACTAAATTAAACATGGATATGTGTAAGGAGAGAAAGGACAAGCGATTATCATTTCCCAAAATTAACAATACATACTGTCATCTGCAAAAGCTATAATTTTTATTTTTCCCCCATGTTAATGCCTTTGATTACCAAGTCATTGCTGCCCAACATGCAGGACAAAAATTTACTTAAGACTTACAAAATTGAAACAATCTCTAATTTTGAGTGTGTTAATTGAAACAAAAGCTATAACATTACACTGTTTTAATGACACACGAGAAGAAAAGAAAATTTCATTAAATGACCTCTAAAATCAATCTACAAGCTGAGAGAAAAATAGGCCAAACTTACAGAAAAAAATAATTGCTCATCATACAAGAGTAACAATCTTGCGAAGAAATAAACAACGTAATCATTCCAAGGACTTTAGGAGCCTAAACAGTGCCGCTGCTTCCCTAATCCGCGAGAACTCTATGCAAAAAGCTTGGACTTCGATGAAAAGATCCTTAACTGTAAAGACAGCCATCAATAAAAGTAAGCGACGTAACGTTGTGATTAAAAACTGTTACTTCAATTGTTCATACAACAAATGTAGTTAGCATCCCATTGATTGACTGTTTCTACATCAAGCATGCGAGTTCAAACAAAATCAAATGACCATATAACATTGAATTGCAAGTAGAGAGTGACACTGACCATTGATAATTTTGCTTCGGATAAGGCTCTGAAGAAACACGCAAACAAGTCTCACAAGTCTGTTCTGCATGTATTTATCCTGAGAGTAAAATATTCAAAACTGCTTAAGGAACTTACAAAATAAGAGTTTGGTACCAACAAAAAAAAAAACTATCATCTAATACCTTCTGACAGCGAGTGAGGGAGGAAGAAAGAATTATAATCAAAACAGACAGCTCATTTTGAGCTCGTGAAGTATGCATAATGCTACACACACAATTTGACAACTTCACAGCTTTACTTTATGGGAGGGTTTGGGAAAACCAAATAAAACCACGACGACTTTAACAAGCAATAGTTTACACTACAATAAAAGCCAGTGTAATTGAAGAATAAAAGAGAATGCACATGTCCCTTCCCGCCTTCAACTAAGGAACCCTAACCAACCTATATTACTCAGTTCAATCAGCAAACACTAGCATGTTCTTTTGCATAACTTTCCAAAAAACGCAGGGCCCTAAAAGAACCTTGAATAGATAATCCCTCATTTGAACGTCTTGAACGGAGAATAGGGGGAAGCAGGATTTTAAAGAAAGAGCAACAAATTTCCCATGTTCAAGCAGGCTCTTATATTATTTTTTTAATTAAACCCTAGCCTTAAATATTTCACTACATAGCTTCTAAACCTCATCATAAAATAAACATTATCGCTCCTAAACATATGTATTTGAAGCAATGCACTAGGTAAGAAATGTATTGCATGATCAAATAAAAAAACATAGATGCGTGAACACTTAAACAAGACAGAAAGAAAATCTTATTATCACTCAAATTTAGTCTCCTCATTCGCATCCTTCAACTTCAGAACGCCTCAACCCATCCTAAGCATCATCCTTGTGTTTATACTCTGTTCCTTCCATTGACAAACCTTTATCCAATTAGATGGCATTTGCTGACATGGAATGGTTGGCATTGAAGAATGCATCACGCACACGAATCTTCTTCCTAAACCCTAAACCCTAAGGCCACTGCACTGACTCACCAAAAGAAGCCACTGAACCAGAGTGGGAAAACCTCCTAATAACCTACCACCATGCACATCCTTAACAAATCTAGCCAGCCTATTCAAAATTTCTTCTCCTAACAAAAATCTACCACTTTTACTCATCTCCCAATTATTATTATAGCATGGAACCATTAAAGGAAAAAACTATCTGAAACTCATTACAATTCAACTGTTTGCATCAAGACTTGAACTGTGCCTTTGAATCTTAGAATACTTATAACCTCAGTCCAGAGGCAAGGTGTGAGCAAGTACCTTGATGTTCTCACAAGATGATATACAATTCGCTATGTACAAGTGTATGAACTCGGAAGGAAGTCCAACTGCTGTAGTAAGCCTATTCACCACTTCCATGGAGTGCAGACTCATGTCCATATTGACAAGCACTGTAAAGTATCTGTGGCCACAAACAAAATTTTTACAAAGCATAAAAACCTTGAAAATGAGGAAGTTAACAGGCTTAAAAGTTTACAAAAGAAAATAGGAACAGGAATAAAAAATAATCTCGTATTCTCTGTAGAATTAGACACACAAAGTAATCAGAGAAAGTGAAGACATACTCTGCAATTTCAGGGAGTTTTATGAGCTTGGCGAGGACTTCAACTGCAATAAGGGGATTATTTTCCACCAATTCCTGAAAACAATAATTGAGGAATTATACAGGTATTAGATTAAATCATACTAATGTTGTTGACTGAGATTTATGTGACAACACTTACCGGTAGCTTTCTTGGTGTCAGCCCACAGTGATATACAAGTTTCGGGTCATTTTCCAGCTCCAACAAGACTTTCTGGACAGAGAAAGGCAAAGCATTAGGTCATTTGTTCCTTCAAAATGATTGACGTAAGGTATAAAATCAAATAACATGAATTTCTTGGTTAAAATGAAGCCATCAAGAACCCTCTATCGTTAATAATTTATTTTATCAATTATATTATTTGGGGGACGGAGAATGAGACCATAGGGCCACTTTAGCAGACATGTCCAAGTGCCACTACAAACTGGACTATACCCCAGCCACATAAATTTCCCCAGATAACACTACATTTAGAAACAAGGCTAAATTCAAAGATGCTTCAAGGTATCATTTATAATTGACTCCAAAAGTCCATAATCCTAACACTAATTCAGCTCTAGTTGATCTATACATATAAACCTTGGGGTCCAAACAGGAAGGGCCTACTTTCAAGTTTCAGCACTTTGTTCTGAGGCCAGGCATCACTATGACTTCTAGCCTCGCCAAAATCCTATAAAAAAATCATTACATGGCTGGATTGGGCGACCCATATTC